TCGTATCTGTTCTATGTATTTTGTTTACCGTATTTTTTGCAAAACATTTTCTTCCATTTTTGCTTCGCTTCTGTACTTTTATGAAAAAATATTAGCAGAACCCATGCGTGTATGAACTTCTGTAGACAACTAGTCTTAGATCCAAAATTAGGTAGCAACCGAACTAGGATACTGTTTGTAACAGGGACACTATAAGGGGCTTCCCTTCAATTTCATTAACATGCACTTCAATAATATTATTCGTGATTATTGTGTATTGATATTGCAATAATGATACAGATCACTAAAACATCACCACTAACATCACCACTAATGATGTGGCAAGCTAAAAAAAAAAACAAAAACAAAAAACTAAGACACAAAATACATGTGGCAGTGGGTGGGACCCACTGCCACATCCCTAGTGCAACCACTAATTAGTGGTCTGCATCATTTTTCTTTTTCAAAAGATTTAGATAGAGAGATGGGAGAGAGAGAGAGAAACAACAACCTAAAGACAGAGTTAAACTTGAGTTGTTTGGAAAGTCGGGTTCTCAAATCATGATTTGTAAATTTAAAATAATATTATCAAATTTAAAAATATATATTCAATTCATGATATACAAAAAATACGACTTTATGATGTCATTCAATGAAACTCGTGGCTACATGATAATTATCTGCGCCCCTCACAGGGTATCTGCCCTTCAGCAGTTGGCTCCTCGGATGCCTTAAAAGTACAGAAAGCAAGTAAACAAGTAGGCAACCAAAGCAAAGCAGCAGATCAGACAACTGAACCATGGCTGGACAACAAAGCAAGAAAAGAGCTTTGGGCGGTCGACCACTTGGTGGAAATTTTGCTCACTTTAGCGCCAAAATGAGAAATGAAGGAAGGAAAATTTATTAAAAAATTGAAAGCCCCATGAATAGTGCCTCGCTTAAATCTAATTTATTAATTTTATTTGTTTGTATAACTGATTTTTAATTTTTTTTTTTGTTATGTTATAATATAATATATAAGATATAGACAGATACCCACAACTTTCATGAAAAATATTATCTGATTAAGGAGAGAAAAGGAATGCAAGTTTTATTTTTTTTTTAAAAAAAAAAATTGGTGAGAGAGATTATGATGGAAAAATTATGAAATATTTATAAACTGAAAGTTCAATAATTTTAGAATGAGAGTTTGGAGCTCTTAAGAGGCTTCTCGTTAGAAATCCCCTTTTTCTTATATAATATACTAGCCTATCACTTGTGCTATGCACGAGATAATTATAGATATTTATATTTGTTTTAAATTTTTTTTAATATATAAATTATGTTTTTCAAGATTTTTTATAAAAATAATTTAACAATCTTATCACTAACCATAGTGTATGGGAGAAGTTAAAAAGGGTACTGCAGTAACTATACACGGATTATATTTATAATTATTTGTATGAGGGGATTTTAAATGTTAATCAGAGAATTTTGACCAAATCAATAAATGCTAAGTTTTTTTTTTTAAATAAAAAATTTAGAAAATTCAGATTGTGATATTGAAGCTCCCACAGGCCTTGGGGGTTAAAAATCCTCTTTTGCTTAATATATAGTATAGATAGATAGATATAAATATTTTTATTTGTTTTAGATATTTTTTTAATATGCAAATTATTTTTTTTTAGATTTTTTATAAAAATAATTTAACAATCCTATCACTAACCATAGTATATGGGAGAAGTTAAAAATGATACTGCAGTAACTATGAGAGAAGTCAAAAAGGTTAACGGATTGAGAGAAGTCAATAAATACTGAGGTTATTTTTTTTTAATCAAAAAATTAAAAAATTAAGATTGAAATATTAAAACTCTCACAAAATTTGTAGATTAAAAATCACTTATCCCTTATATAATATATAGATATGGATTGCTCTCCAATAGCCCTATTCATTTTATTTATAATCTACCGCATATATAAGGTGATAAAATTGATCTGGTAGGCTCGCCACTGCCCTTTTTTATTATTTAAATATATGATAATAACCAATGGCATATTTGTTTAGCAGAAGTGATTGAGATCCTCTCCGATCACCAATTATATCACCCCCAAATATATGTGGGGGTTGGTGATTGGAGAAGGAGAAGGAAAGAAAAAAAAAAAATTGGCCAATCACAACCAGAGGAGGCCGTGGGGGTATCTCTGTGGGAGTCTAAGTCATTTTTCTTTCTTTAGACAGATGAGGTAAGGACTATAATGTAATGGACTATTAATCTTAAAATAAGTAATTTTTAGATTATTTAATTAAAAATGATATATATTTGTTTGTACAGGCAATTGCTCTGGTTTTAAATGAAGTCCTCGCTAGTGGATAATGGGATTGGTCTCCTGAAATTACTCAAGTGGGCATAAGCTAGTTCGGACACTCGGTTATCCAAAAAAAAAACATTTTATTGTAATTTTCCCAAGTTTATATATGTGGCAAATTATACTAACAGTCCCTATAGTTTGAAACTTGTGTCACTTTAGTCCTTAACTTTTCAGTTGTGACACATTTGACCCTGAATATTGAATCTTCTTTCAAATAAGGACAATTGAAAATACGATGGGTGGGAACGGGTCGGTTACGGTCATGGAACCTCCAATCTGCCATCCGTCCGTCAAATTGGCGGATTGAAGAAAATTAATCCGCATCCGTCCGTTAATCCGACGGATGTGGATTAAGTGGATTGACATATGGATGCGAATCGGTTTGGCAGTTAAAATTTTATAAATTTTTAACATAATTCAACTTGTGCACTTCCTAAAAAAAAAAAAAAGTATTACAGTTAAATACTTAAAAAATATTACAATCACTACATGTAGGTCTCTGTATTGCTAAATCTATATCTGTTTTTAAAAACAAAAACCAACCAACACATATTATCTTTTTATTTATTATTTTTAGAGTTAGATTTAAAAATCAAAAAATGTAGATAAATAATACATTTATTTTTTTCAATTCAAAAAATATATTCAAATCGAAAACTTTTTTTTTAACAGAATATTTAAACTTTTTTTCAATTGAAAACATAAATAGAATATCTAAACAAATTGAAAACACAAAATTTTACAAATTACTACCAGTGCTCGCAGTTTGGCGGTTCGATTGTAGCCAAAGGAATCTCAAATCAGTCATTCGTCTAAAACTAGGCGGATTGAAAAAAATCAATCTGTAACCATCCGTTCGTCATCACATATCCGTCCAAAATGCGGCGGTTCGGTTCAGTTCGGTCTATTTAGACGAATCGGTATATCCGCTACTCATTCCTAGAAAATATCATTGTTTAATTTCAAGGGCAAAATCATCAATTTAATAAAAATAAACTAATTTGACAAAAATAAATGTCAAAAAAGTATTTTAAAATTTTTAAAAATTATTTCTATCCACCAAAGATAAAATTATGTAAAATTGATCAAAATTAATAAAAATTACATGATTAATTTTTAGTAATTAATTTTATATGATCATCATCCAAACACATAATAAAAATTAATTTAGTAAATAAATAAATAAATGTCTAAACGATTTATCAATTTTACATAATTTTATCTTTAGTGGGTAGAAATAATTTTTAAAAATTTAAAAATATTTTTTTGACATTTATTTTTGTCAAATTAGTTTATATTTTATCAAATTGACGATTTTCCCTTGAAAAATCTAATCAATTGTCCTTATTTGAAACAAAATTCAAAATTCAGAATCAAATGTGTCATAATTAAAAAGTCGGGAACTAAAGTGACACAAATTCCAAACTATAGAAACTATTAGTGTAATTCACCCTATATATTATTTGATTTGGTGAAAATTGTTGTATGTATACGTTTTGGTTCTGTATCTGGTGGAAAACAAAAATTAATAAAAAAAATTTGGGTGGTCAAGAAGAAATAAATGATTAGAGAAAAAATATTTTTCAGTTTCAAATGTGGATAATATTTTTCAATCATAATAACGAGACATACAAGAGTTTTATTAGTTTTAGGGGTTGTTTTAGGGGTTGTTTGGGATAGTCTAAATAAGTGTATTTTTTGACTTTTTATGAAAAAATGTGAAATATGAGTTGAGTTTAAAATGATGTGGTAGAGAGATGATATGATTTAAATAAGATGATATAACTTAAATAAGATAGTGACTTTTTAACTTTTTTAGATTATGTCAAATTAAACTTTATTGTCATTGCCTCCCTCATCACCAATAGAGGCGACGCTCTCACGATTAGATGATCACTTAACTTGTTACATGTGCCTATTAAGAAAATATAAAAGCAGATATTAGTGTCAAAGTTTTTAGTATTTTAAAAACGTAATAAGTCTCATTTTAATTTTTCTTTTTGTCTTTTGAGCACCACAAAAATAGATATATATTAAGTAGGAAAGTCATTTACACGATGGGCCCGTGCAATTCCGGTACTTCCACTACAAAAAAAATTGATTTTTTACGGCGGTAAAATGCCGTCGCAAATACCCAAAATGCCGTATCAAAAGGTTTTTTGCGACGGTAAGTGGCCTTTTACGACGGCAAGTAGAGGGTCGCAACAGAGGGGGTTGCAAAAGGGCTTTAGCGACGGTATGACGCCGTCGCCTTTGGTTTGCGACGGCAAAGAAGCCTTTTGCGACGGAAAAATGCCGTCGCCATTAACGTGTGAAAATTTGAAATTTTTTTGAGACAGCACTGTTTTGCCGTCGCTAAAAGGGGTATTTGCGACGGCACAAGTACCATCGCTAAAGGGTTATTTGAGACAGCACTTGGTGCCGTCGCTAATGCACTATTGGCGACAGCAAATTACACCGTCGCTAAAAGTCCTCATTTTCAACCAAATGCCCTATCTTTTGCGACGCATTACTGCCGTCGCAAAAAACCCCTATTTGAGAAGGTGAGTGGACTGCCCTCTCAAAAAATAAATAAATAAATATATGAAAATAACCTGTATTAAATGAAAAATAACTAAAAAAAAAATCAATAATTACATAATAATATAAAAAGTCCAGTATAAAAATAATAATTCATCCATAATTAAAATATTCTTCCATTCATAACAATACATCAACAAAATTATCCAATACATAATGTTGTTCACAAATCTAAATAACGTAAATCAAAAACAAAAATTTTCGTCATGCTTCTGCACTTCCCATTTGAAAAATAAATTCACAAAAGAGATCAAATACAAGTAAAGACGCTGACAGAATATAAATATTCAACAGCTCTCTCTGGGTTGTAAGCAGCACGAAGAGCTCGAACAACAGTATCCCTATCCCAAGTCCCTCCACCCATATCAAGAATTTGCCGGACCGCTCCATCAAGGTTACTTCCAGCAACCAAATTCGATGCTGCTTGACCATAGACATTAGACTCTGGTCTGGTTGAACACACATTATTGGATTAACAAAGGTAACCAGTATTGTCCAAATTAAATAAACAGACAAAAAAAAATCATGCTCTTCAGTCTTCACAAGTTAACCAAAGAAGAAAAATACTCACATGGCAGTAACTGTAGAGGTAGGAGCAGCAGCAGGTGCAGGTGCAAACGCAGGCGCAGATACAGGTACAATATATATATATCATATTTTTTCAGCCATACTAAAACAAAAGATGCTAAGATAAAACAAATCCATAAAAGATAAGATATAACAGGCATACATGAACCTAATCATGTATAAAAAAAATAATAAGTAATAGACATGCATGTGTAAACAAAACAGAGAACTTAGTGTTTCATGATTGGAGAATAACAAATGACACGCAAAAATATGCAATAGGTTTTGAATTTTTGTCAACATGACAATACTTGAATTTTTAAATCTGAAAAATAAACAATGTATCATTTTCTATGTTTTAATTTATCCATATCATAGCTTTTGTCAAGTAATCTGTAACATTCTTTTTTTGTTTTTTTGGTAAGTAAGCTTTTATTACCACCAAAAGAGAAAAGACATAACAAAGCTTAGACTTAACCAAGAGGAAACATTCAATCACTTGCCCAAGTTTTTCAATCTCTAAACAAGAGGATACAATGCAAGGTGTTTCTAATGTAAACAAATTAGTTCTCATGACATTATATATTAAACTTGAAGCCATCAACCAGAATTAACCAGAAAGCTTTGGCTCTGTGCAATCAAGACTGACAACCATGAGTTTAAAAAACGGCCACTACATTATGTAATAGCTGTTACATAAAGGGATTTTGGAGCTCCATAACAAAAAAAGTCAAAGCTGCACGCAACTGCAGATTACAAGCCATTACATCACTGTTATGGTACGATATTCAATTTTACCTCTGTTAAGACATTAAAAATGTTTAAAAGTAAAACTCTAAACTGAAAATCTCTTATTCTTCCTTAAACATTAACACTCAAATTATTCTTTTATTTTAAATTATTTTCCTCTTTTTAAATTCTTCATTGTCATATTCTTTAATTGAAAATCCTAATTTCATTAATCTATATTACTAACTTATTGATTTAAAATAAAAACTATGAATTTTAAATGGTAATCTACTAATTCAAAAAATTAAGAGTCATATACGTCATTTGTTTTACGTGTAAACTCATGAATCAATGAGGTAATACATATAGCATACCTTATATTAGCCACTAGTGTTGTCATATTACTTGTATTACCATTGTAACAACAAATATTGACTTACAATTACTATATTTTTATGAATTATCTAATCTATTCTACTAGCATTTCTAAATACTCTAGATAGTGCAATTCCCTACTAGACGAAATTCTCCACTTTTTAAGCCTTAAAACCAACCTAAAATTCAATAACATCTAGAAAACATGTTCTTAGGTGCACAACATTGATTAAAACCATTACAAACATTCAAATTTTGATAAATTGGATCATAACATACTTATCAATAAGTTTGTTGGTGTTAAAAATGCGCTTGAAAAAATCTCATGCGTTTAGTGTTCCTACATTAACAAGTAGTTCACATCTAACTTCAATTTTTCTTGGTAAATAATAATTGAAAATAAAAAACAAAATGAAAGTCCAAGCGTTGCAATAACTAATCACTAGTCTGCAGAGTGCACCTTTCAATTTCATCTGAGACACCAGCTCATAGAAAGATCATACATATATTCAAGACAGAAGTAAAACCCCAAAACCAGAAACAATTCCACTTAATTATTTAATTATTTCTGAATAAAGTGTAATGTCCACCACAGATTCACAATGGTCCATAGAATGACAGACGTAGACAATACCTAAAGAATGCAGCCACCGAAATATCCAAGCTTTTGACAACAACAGAAGCATTCATCTCGCCACATATTGAAATAACACAAGACGTAGTGTGAAACAAGCATTCAGGAGAATCATGGAAAAAAAGAATGGAGGGATAGTATCTATGCATTTCATATCAAGCCAATGCGCTCAAAGATTAAAAAAAAAAAAAAACACCGAACACACAGCAAAAAAAAAAAAAGAATTTCGAGGCCTCAAGCATTAATCTAAAACTTACTACCAAATCAAAAAGAGACCTATACCTAGAACAAAACTGAAGCAATCACAATCACATACTCAAACGACAGATTTCAGGTCAAAATTACAACATCCAAGTACAAATCAAATCAAAGTAACATAACAAATCATTACCGCTTTGCGGAGTTTCTTGATCAAGGCCATGGGCTTCCTCTTCAGACCTCTCTGAAACCTAAATTATCCAAACACAAAAAATAAAAAATAAAAAATGAATCAAAGCAACTACCAATGCAACAAAAACTATACATACAACACAAAACATACATACATACAAATGTAAATCACCTTCTGCGAGCTCGAGCGGTAAAGAGCTTAACAAGCTCATCTGTGGACATATCGAGCAAAGCGTCCAAATCGACGCCCCTGAAACTGAACTTCTTGAATGTCCTCTTCTTCGGTTGTCCTGCTGCTATCTCCATTTCAACATCCGCCTAACAAACACATGCACCAATACAACATAGAGTTATACGTATACAGACACGTGATACTCTTAACACAGATTCAGATCACACAGAACACAGATTCAGATCACAGATTCAGACCAAAACAAACACACAGAACACAGATTCAGATCTGTTGGTCCAACAAACACACAGAACACAGATTCAGATCTGTTGGTCCAACAAACACACAGAACACAGATTCAGATCTGTTGGTCCAACAAACACACAGAACACAGATTCAGATCTGTTGGTCCAACAAACACACAGAACACAGATTCAGATCTGTTGGTCCAACAAACACACAGAACACAGATTCAGATTCGATCAAGGCAAGAGAGAGAGACAGAGATTGAGAGATAGAAGCTTACCCGTGAGTAGATCGGTGCGATGAGAGAGTGAGACGATCGGTGTGATGCGATTCAGACCAAAACAAACACACAAAACACAGATTCAGATTCGATCAGGGCGAGAGAGAGAAGACCAAAGATTAAGAGAGATAAGAGGCTTACCCGTGAGTAGATCGGTGCGATGAGAGAGTGAGACGATCGGTGCGATGAGATGAACAACGAGAGAGTGAGATAGACAGTGATAAGATGAGAGTGATCGCCGATCGTGCAAAACATGAAGATTAACAACGAACGAGAGAGTGAGAGAGACGGTGATGAGATGAGATGAGACTGAGAGAGAGTGAGGTATAGACAGCAATTAGGGTTTTTTCTTTTGTTTGTCATAGATGAGTGAGTGAGATGGTGAGAGATGGACGGTTAGATTTAAAAGCGGGGGAAACAAAAATAAAAAAAAAGTAGGAATAATATTAGATTTAAAATAATTTTTATAGTTGGTGAATTCTTTTTTTATTTGGTAAAGTTAAAATTTATTTGTTTTATATTTATTTTAATGAATAAAAAATATTATTATTTTTTATTTGGTAAAAGTAGGAATAATATTTTTCATTAAAATAAAGTTAATTTTTTGTGGTCAATGAAAAAGAGAGAAGATAGATGAGAGAAGAGATAAATGAATGAGAGAGAGAGAGAGAGAGTCAAATAGACAGAGAGAGAGAGAAGAGTGATGAATAAGAGAGAGAAAGAAAAGAGAGAGAAGAAGATGAAAAAATGAGTGAAAAGATATAGACAAAGAAAGAGACAGAGAGAGAGAAAAAAAATAGCGAAAATAGATAAATAAGAGAGAGAGAGAGACAGAAAGAGATGAGCGAGAGAGAAAAAAATAAGAGAGAGAGAAGAGAGACAGAGAGAGAAGATATATGAAAGAGATAGAGAGAAAAGAGATGGACGAGAGACATAGAGAAAAAGAGAGAGATAGACAGATAGAGAAGACGACTTTTCTAAATTTTTGCTGATATTTCTTCACCATACCCTCCATCCTCACCTACCCAAGAGACGACGGGTGTCGAAGGGAAAGTCGGAGGGAGAGAAGAGAGGGTAGTCGAAGTTGAGAGAGGAGAGAGAGAACCAGAGGTTTCGCCATTTGTGAGAGAGACAGGTGGTTCGAATAGCATCAAGAGTGGGGAGAAATGAGAGGATGAGGAGGAGGATGAGGTCCGGGAAGTCATTTAGGTTAGGAACGGTGGTGGAGTCACCGGTTGTCTCCGCCGTCGCCGTCTATCTCTCGAGAGGGGGGTAAGAACAAAGAGAGACAAAGTGGTCGCTAAAAGTGCATTTTCTTGTAGTGGAGAGCTCAGTAAATAGAGAAGCGATGAGGGAGAGAGTGAGTAATGTGAACACAATGGGGGAGAGAGACAAACAGACAGACAGACACATAGAGAGAAAGAGAGAGAAACAAAAGAGTGAGAGACAAACAAACAGACACAGAGAGAGAAAGAAAGAGAGAAAAGTGATAAGTGAGAGAGAGATAAAAAGAGAAAGAGATATAGAGAGATAGAGAGACAAAGAGAGAAAGAGATAGAGAGAGACATAAAGAAAAATAGAGAAAAACAAGATATGAGAGAGACATATAGAAAGAAAGCGAAAAGAGATGAACGAGAGAGAGAATAGAAAAATAGAGAGATAAAGAGAAGAGAGATGAGCGAAAGAAATAGAGAGAGAAAAAAGAGATGAGCGAGAGAGACAGAGAGAGAAAAGAGATGAGAGAGATAGAGAGAAGAGAGAAGAGAGATGAGCGAGAGAGACATAGAGAGAAGACAAATGAGAGAGATAGAAAGAAGAAAGATGAACGAAAGACACACAGACAGACAGACAAACAGACAGAGAAAGAAGAGTGATGAGTGAAAGAGAGAAAGAGAAGAGTGGTGGTAGTTAAATGGCATTTGCAGTAGTAGTAAATGTGGTAGAGAAGATGGGTGGTGAGAAAGAGAGATGAATGAGAGACGAATAGAGAAAAGAGATAGAGAGACAGAGAAAGAGATAGAATGATGAGCAAGAAAGAGACAAAGTGGTCACTAAAAATGCATTTTCTTGTAGTGGATCGATAAATCGAAAGGGAGCTCAATAAATAAAGAAGACAGATAATTCAAAACTCTTTCCAAAACTTAATTCAAATCAATTTTTTAAATATTTTAAAAATATTTTAATTTTGTGAGAGACGGATAAAGAAGAGAGATAGAGAGAGAGAGAGACAGAGATAGAGTTCTATTTGCGTGCCCTTCAATTTTTTTCACTTTCTAGATAGGTCTCGAAGACAATTTTAGGTCAATTTTAAAAAAAGATTTAAAAAACTTCAAAAAATTATAACTTAATCTTAAAGTACTGTTTCACAACAATTACGAAAGTGACGTGTCTTTAACTGTTAGGCCAAAAACACTAATATGGAAAGTGATGAGGCTCATCGTATAAATCAATTACATTTAGATGCTAACCTTTCATTAAACTCACATTTTTGTTGGTCAATAATTTCAAAAGATGATTGTAAAAGTTTGATTAATAATTTGAGTGTGGCTTCTCTACAAGTAAAAAAAAGTACATTACGGCATTGTTGGATTTATGGGGCCATTAAGGATAATTTTTGATAATTTGATTCTTTCAATTTTAAGGTTCTAATATATATGGATCATCTATGAAAAAATCAAGAGAAATTTATGGGCCGATTCTATTGACCAAACTTACTTATCTATAAGTCCTGTTCATTATACATAGCTCTAATTTGAGAGTTTTAAATGGAGCTCTAATGAGGTGGAAGAGAGAGAGACTAGAGAGAGATAGAGACAGAGAGACGGGAAGATGAAAAAATGAATGAAAAGAGAAATGTTATATCAAAAGAGTAAGACGACATTGTTTTTTTTAATTTTTTTTGCGACAGAAAAATACCGTTGAATTTATTCAAACCATTTTGTGACTGTATATATATGAAGCTATCTCAAAACCACAATCACTATGCTAGGTTAGAGTTTTCCAAAAACTCTTTTGAGAAAATTAAACTTTCTTGTTTTCCGTGTTATATTGTTTTTACTGAATTTTTTAAATATTTTAAGTATTTTTTAAAATTTTTAGACACACCTAACATAAATACACCTAAAAATTAAAAAAATTGTAAAAAAAATCTTTTAAAAATTCACTAAATACCAAAAATACAATAATTCAATACATTTTTTTGTATTTTTATGTATTTATTAATTTTTAAAAATATTTTTTCATAATTTTTTTATTTTGTAGATACATCTAAGTAAGGTACATCTAAAAAAAATATTTAAAATTTTAAAAATATTCACTAAAAAAAAAACACGAAAGTCACTTTTTGCGACGGCAGAAAATGCCATCTCAAAAAAGCAGAGTATTTGCGACGGCACCATTTACCATCTCAAAAAAGCAGAGCATTTGCGACGGCACTATTTGCCGTCTCAAAAAATGAGAGTATTTGCGACGGTATTTAGTGCCGTCGCAAATGCTCTGCTTTTTTGAGACGGCAAATGATGCAGTCGCAAATACTCTGCTTTTTTGAGACGGCATTTTCTGCCGTCGCAAAAAGTGACTTTTTGAGACGGCAAGTGTGCCGTCGCAAATAATTCCGTCTCATATACCCAGTTTTCTTGTAGTGAATTCCATGCTCCTACCTCCATGATCCATCCACAAACAAATTTGAAATCCTCAAAAAGCGAACGGAAAATTATCCACGCGTTCTATTTAAAATATGTGTACATTATTTAATTTAATAATTTTTTGAATAGATCAAAAAGTCTTACTTTTCCTCTTTCTCTTTCTTTCTCTCTCTGCTTTTTGCCTCACTCTTTACGTTTTCGTCTCTCTTTTTTTTTGCATTTTTCTCTCATTTTCTTTGTTATGAATAACAACCGGTGATCACATCATTCTTATTCTCTTTCTCTTTCTAATATATAGTTACGAGTGACCGACAACCACCATTGATTGGGGTTCACCGGTAACCATCAACCATCGAAATCAACTCGTGACTTCACCCTCACCGATGACGAAGAAGATATATTTTCGACGAAGAAGATGAGTAGATCTATTTAGATCTGATGTAGATCTACATCAGATCTGAGTAGATCTACATCAAATCTGAGTAGGCTAGATCTAAACAAAAAATAATTATCGGAGTACAATTCTCTCTCTATATCCGTCTTTCTCCTTCGATCTCTGATTTTTTTTATATTTTCTCTGCTATACACTTCTTTTTTTTATTTTCTAATGGAGAAAATTTTCAAACTTTGAACAAGTAGTTTTCGAGTTTTAGTTACAGGCGGTGAAAGTGGTAAAATTTTACAGTTTCAAATTTTTTTGGTGCTGAAACGAATCATGGTATAAAACTGTAAAATTTTACAGTTTCATAACATTCTTTAGAACTGTAAAATTTTACAATTTCATAACATGTTTTTCAGTTTGATTAATAAGGATAAATGCTTAATAGATTTTTGCTTTGAAACTGTAACATTTTACAGTTTCAAAACTTATTTTTCAAGTTGATCAATATTGGATATTATTTGCTTAAACTTTACAAAAATTGAAAAATAACATATGCTTTTCTCATTGTTGCTGTTTTTTGTCGTTTCATTTTTTTTCCTTTTAGTTTATCAATATTTAGAACATTTTGCTATGTTTTTTCGCTCTAATTTCTCTATTTATTTTTTTTTTTGGCAATATTCTAGACATTCTGGCAACTTCCATTAACATTCTTAAATCTCCGGTGAACTTCCGACGATACTCCGGCGACTTCCCGGTGATGTTGAACATTCCGACGAGTCTCCGGCGACTGTTTGACGGAAGTCCGATGGTAGTAAAATATAACAGTGTCTGTAAATTTAAAAAAAAAAAAAAATTTGGTAACAATTAAAAATGTATAGCACTAATTGGTGTAAAATATTTTGTTTGAGGATTAACTGGGTCTTGAACTTTGTATATAAGACTTATCAGTAAGTTCCCCAAAAGTAAAATGTTTCCTTGTTTCCAAATGGCCCACAACAGAGCAACAACCTGTCGAGTAATTTTCTTCATCCTTCACCTCCCTTCTCCATTAATCAATCCATTCATTAATTTAAAAACATCAAAAAAGAATATTAAACCGATACTTATCACCATCACCATCACAATCACCATCACTGCCACTATCCACACACATATACCATAACCTCAGCACCATCATTTTAGAGTCACAATTAAAAATATGAAATAATCAGAGCATTACTTTTAAAACA